TTTTTTTTTTTTTTTTTTTACGCGTGTCATCCTCGCGCAGGGGCCATGCTAATCTTCATTCTCTGTATCGTTCCAATTTTATCGGTGTATTTTCCCCTCTTTTTTCGTTCTGTGGCCACTGTTTTTTCCCCAACTTTTCCCCTTTTTCCTTTTTCTTTTCCTCCTTTTTTTATTCCTTTTCCTCTCCTTCCTCTTCTCCTTTTCCCCCCCCCCTCTTTTTTTCGCTCTTTCGCTCTATCATTCCCCGAGCTACCGTCTTCATCCGGAGCCAGGTCCCACTGGCGTGTGGTATTCATTCTCGACCGCCGATTGCGATTGTGGCGGGAATACACAGATCCATGGCCCGAAATGAAGAACACCATCTAGTGGGACCTGGCCCCTGAATAGAACGCTCGGTCATTATCGCTGTGTATCTAGACTGATGAAAGTTGCTTCATTGCAGCTCGACTGTCCCGGGGCGTTCTATTCGTTTACGCACGCACTTGTTGTGAGAGAGCAAGCCAGACTCATGCCAGGACTTTTTTCTACTAACCCCTAGACGCCTTCGCGACCAGATTCATCTAGCCTTGGGTGTAATTGTAGTCAGATAATTCTCTCTCGAAAGTACTACCTAGTATGAGTATGCCCCTCCTGAGCCCCATACAGTTATCATTTTACCATCCAACCATACGTGTTTTTTTTTTTTTTTTTTCCTTCTAAGGGCGACGACCTTGATATATCATCATCGAACTAACCGGCCCTAGGTTAATTCAGAATTATTATTCAATTATACCATTTTACTCATCAGATTCCACTCGAGTTCGAACTCCGGTCTGTATTTCAACAATTCAGGTGTGTACCAACTGAGCTCGCCCAGTTGGTTTTCTAATTTAATTTAATTTAATTTAATTTAATTTAATTATTTTACTTATTTAATTCATTCAATTATTTTAATTAATTCAATTAATTTAATTTAAATTAATTTAATTTAATTTAATTTAATTTCAAAGAGGGCACGGCCTTTCAGATACTATCCTTTTTTCCAAAAAGAAAAAAAAAGAGGAAAGAAAAAAAAAAAAACATTCTTTGGTGGCTCAGTTGGTTAGGCACTCAAGCTGCATTTTGGGGGGTTCGAACCCCATAGCCGCCTGAGGCGCGCTTAGTGCCAACCAGCTGCGATAGTCCGTTCTATACCCCTCTGATCGGTATCGGTAGGGTCTTTTTTGGCCAACACGGATGGGAGTGTGCGAGTGAGTGGGTTGTGTGTGGTCTGTGGGAGAGTGTTGGCGGCCTTATAGACACTACTCTTATTCGATTGGGGGGTGGGGGACTATGAAAAGGGGAGGGGGGCGCAGCAACCTGGCAGAATGCTCGGTCTTTGCGGTAGCCGAACACCCACCGGCGGCCACACCCCATCTCTCTGGCTAACGCTGTTGGGGCGGGGGGGGGACAATATGCAATCCCTTTCATTGTGAGGTAGCTATGCTTGCAGGGGTCCCCTTTATATAGCTTTAGGGATAGTGGTAGGTAGGTAATGAAAAAGAAAAAAGAATTTGAGAGAAGAACATAGTGTAGTTTGATTACATTAGTAAAAAAAAGGGTATATCATTTTTTATTTATTTATTTATTTTTATTTTTGTTTTGTGTATTTGCGCATATGATGCTTGTGGCCAAAACGATCTTCGAGCACGATGTTTGCGCACGTTTGCGCACGCTGTTCACGCGCACGATGAGTCTTTTTTTTTTTTTTTTTTCATTTCAAGAGTTTCGACCATTTCTCGATGTATGCGTGTCATCCTTGCGCTGGGGCCATTTTGCTTAATTACCCTTCTTTGTATCGCTCCAATTTGCACCGATGACGTCCCCAAAGGACGATGCTTTTGACGTTTGCGCGCACAACATGCCTTTGCGCAAACATCGCATCTTTCCTTCATTTAGCATGTCTGCGCACGATGTTTGCGTCTATATCATTTTGCGCAAACAAGCGCAAACGAGCGCAAACAGGCGCAAAACAGACGCAAAACAGACGCAATATAGGCGCAAAATAGGCGCAGAACAGGCGCAAACATACATGTCATTTACAGTCTGTTTGCGAACACAAACAGCGAGAGAGAGCACACACAGAGAGAGAGAGGAGATAAGCTCTTCGCCGGGTGGGGGACGGGGAAGAAAGAGAGAGAGAGAGAGAGAGAGAGAGATGACCGGGCGTTCTATTCGGGTGAAGACGCTCGGCTTGTGGCTTATTTTCTACTTGCCATGTTGTTCAATGTTGAAGTCTAATGGTACGAAATCTTTCGTTTCTCGATTTTTTATTTTATTTTTATTTTTTTATACTTTCTTCTTCCTCCGTCACCCCTCTGCAACCCTCCTCCCTCTCTCCCTCTCTCCCTCCCTCCCTCCCTCCCTCCCTCAGTCTTCCCCCTGCGTGAGATTGCGCTCATTGACGAAGACAATTCGCGGTACGAAGTTGAACTGTACTCGTTGCCAATCATCATTCCACAATACGACGCTAGGACGGAGAGCTTAGCTGCGCTCTCTTTTTTAGCTGTATTTGGTCAGATTTTCACTCTAGGTGCAGCCAACCTCGGAGTGGTAGCCAGAGAGACAAGCTCCCTAGGTAGTTTAACAAAAGAGAGAGAGAGAGAGAGAGAGAGAGAGAGAGAGAGGACAGGACGACAAGGAAGAAAAGGCAAGGATAAATGACGACTCGATATGATCATTAAATATAAGTTTATAAGGTTATAAACGGGGGATAAGGTTATAAACGAGGAGGATAAGCTAGACATTCTTCAAAACAGGCGGGAAGGGGGAAAGGAGGAATGGAGGGGGAGGAGGGGGGAAAGGGGGGGAAGGGGGAGGGATGAACATGAACGCTCTTCCTTTCTTCTTTCGTTTATTCGCTCTTCGTCAGCAGGTGTGTGACATTAAACACAGGCGACCGCGCGATCGTTAACTGTGCATAGATAGATAGATAGATAGATATACGATCTCGAAAGAACAAGAGGAGGTACATGTGCCTAGTTGTGCGACAACCTCCGACGAGCTGTGCGACGATCTGTGCAACGATCTGTGCGATTATTAACTGTGTATATATATATATCGTCAAACATGATTTCGAGAGAAACAAGAGGTACATACACGTGTGCCGAGCTGTGCGACAACCTGCGACGCTCTGTGCGACAACGCGTTGTGGGATCAAAGAGCTGCAGTTCGTGCGACAACGGATTGTGGTAGGATCCGAGAAGTTGCAGAGCACTGTTCTTTTTTTTTCCTTTCTTTTTTCAGACAGTACTGTTGCAGAGCAGTGATTCTTTTTTTTTTTTTTTTTTTTTTATATTGAACTGATCAAGTGTAGTTGCAGAGCAGTGTTGCTGACCTGAGGCATGGACCTGCACGCTTAACGACCTGGCCGACAACGTGCGACGTGGCCTTCGCCGCACAAGGCGTGAGATCGATTTCTTCCCAGCAGGAGGGCTCCATCGCCAGACGTCGGAGCATCGTGCACGTGCATGCCACTCTCGCCACGTGTACAGTGTCGAGCATGCCGAAGATCTTCATCGTTAAATCCTGGGTCAGCGGCCAGGTCATCCCATTCTGCCACGTGGCATGCTCTCTGGCCAGTCGATTTCCAACCTCTGTCAGCTTTGCACCCAATGCTTGCATCTTCTCAAACAGCTGAACGCGATCCCCTCCTCCTCCTCCTCCTCCTCCTCCTACTCCTACTCCATCGACAGGTTGGCGGATGGCTAGGCGAATCACCGCTGCCGCCGTCTCCTCCTGCTCCACATCTCTCACTAGCCATTCAAGCGCAGCGTCGATCTCAGACCGATAATCTAATATGTCCCCCATTCCCCCGCGCGTACCGCGCCGTCTCTTCATCGAGCGCATCTGAACCTCCCGTTGCGCCAACTCCCCCCCATCCCTCTCATTTGCCTCATCCGACATTGACTAAC